TAAATCTTTAAAAAAAAATGCCTGTGATTGAAGCAAATGTTAGCCCATGACCAAAGGCCCCCAACCCCCACTCTCAAAGCAGGTCTGGCCATCTGTGCACACAAAGACAGAGAGATGGCACCTAGAGAGAGAAGAAAGATAATTTCCAGTAAGCACCAGAGTGGCCCATCCCGTCGTGGGCAATGCCCAGGCAAACAGGGTTGGCCCAGACAGGACCTCTGAGGGGGGGTGTTTGCCCCAGGGTGAAGGCACCTCCTGAAGGGGCCCACAGGAAAGGGGTAAAATGGCCAGGCGAGTCTGGCAGGAAAACAGCAACACAGAAACACAAATCAAGGTGAGAGGCAGTCGTGGGAGGCCCTCAGGGTCCATGGAGGTCCAGACAAGTGAAGGAGTCATGGAGCCTCAGGTAGAGTCCACAGGCCTCGGAGGCTGCGGCAGGGACCCAGGCCCAGGCGGAGACCAGGCAGGGAGGCAGGGGGCTGGGGTGGGGGCTGTTAAGAGGTGGGGGGGTGGTTTGGGTGGGCTAGGAGTGGGGGTTGGGAGGTGGAGAACTGTGGGGGTGTTGGGAGCGGGGGGGCTGGGAGGCTCAGTGCTGGGATGGGGCCATGGGGGGGTTTGGGAGGCGGGCTGGGAGGTAGGGGGCTGGGAGGGAGGGTTGGGGGGCCTGGGGAGCAGGGGAAGGGGTGTTGGGAGGTGGAGAGGGGTGGGGTTGGGAGGCTGAGGGGCTGGGAGGGGGTCCTGGGAGGCGGGGGGCAATGGAACCCCCAGCCCCCACCACCTCCACGCACCTCCCTGGCTTCTCTTCAGTTGTAAAAATCTCTCACATCAGGGCCTCCCTGGTGGGCCAACAGGTTCAAGCCCAGCACTAGGAAGCTGACCACAGCCAACACTGCACTCAAGTTCCATCCCCCGCCAGGGAGGTGACCCACAGGCCCAGCAGACCCCTCCTGTCTCCCCGATGCTCCCTCAGCAGTGGGTTTCCGTCAACTTGTGCTCCCCACTGTGTCTCTGGCGAATCCTCCCACCCCACCCCACCCCACCTCTGGCCTGTACCCCAGTTCTTGCGTGCATGAATAAATAAATCTTTGGAAACAAATCGCGTATGGATAGCAACACTTAGGGGAGGAAAACAAAGCTGCAGGGCGGCCAGAGGCCCCCCAGCCCGAACTACTGGATTTTCCTACACGGCCATTGTCAGGCGCCCCGCGGGCCTCCCCGTCTCCCAATCCCCGGTGCAAAGCCTGAAGCGAGCACGCCCTTCCCCGCGCTCGCTCGCCGGCCACCTGCCTCCTGAGTTAGCGAAGCTCACCTGGCCGCTCGGCCCCTCCCACCGTCCAGTGGGGCAGGAACCCGTCAGGCCCCCAGCCAGGGGCCATCCTGCCCGAGGACCCGGATGGCTGTGTGCAGGGGGTGGCGCTCTGTCAACGGCTCTACATCTATGGAAGCGTCTTCACTGATGAGCGCCGGCGCCCGCTTCCAGCGGCCGGTGCCTGTCTGCGGCCCCGGCAGTGCCAGGCCCGCGAGCCCGTCAGTTCTGGTGACACAGTCCGAGGCCTCCTGCAGCCCGCGCTTCCGCCCAGATCCGCCCAGATCCGGCTCCCAGCTACCGGAGAGAGGAGGGTAGCTCCTCCGTGCACAGCAGCTAAGGGTCCTTTGCAAACAGGAACATGGGCGACTGAAATCATTTGATTTGCAAAAAAAAAAGTTTGTGTGTGTGTTTGTTTTAATGTACTTTGCAGGAGCTTAAATAACCTAACCCACAGGGACCCTGATGGCGGCCCTCACACAGCTGTCGGTAACGGAGTGTCTGGGCCACAACTGCTAAGGGTCTTCACAGCGTGAGGGGATTCTAGAACAGTCTCTGGAGAACGTGTAGGCACGAGTGTGGACTTCGCACGGGAACCCGAATCCTGGGTGGGGTGGAGTCTCTGAATGGATGGCTTAAAGGCTACAAATTCCTGATTGTTTCACCTGGTCGAGTGTCTTATTAATGGTGTTGTTTGCAACACCTCAAAATTGGGGTATTTCACATAACAAGTTGGTTTCTAGCTGCTATGGAAAAAGCAGGAGATCCAGCACAGTGCCCCCACGTTATCAAGTGACGCAAGCAAGTCAGGGGCACCATGCTCCTGACACAGTGCACGAGGGTGCCAGCACGCCACACTCCCCACCGCTCCGTATTGCCTCCCTCGAGTCAGACCGAGGGTCAGGAACCATTTGCCGCCGTATTTAAAGAAATGTTTAACCTGTGCATCTGGCTCTTTCACATGTGGGAACAGGAAGGCGGCCAGACACTTCCAGAAACGGAAGCCACAGACGCTTTGATGTCCTTTGTAGGAAAATGCGCATCCACACCTCTGGTCCCTGCTTACAGATTGCATTGTGCAACAGAGGACGCCTGGGGAGCCACCCGCTTGCGCCAGGCCACGTGAGCTGATGAGCTCGGGCAGCTGTGTCGCACGGCCCGACAGCCGGGCCCAGGCCTCCCTGGGACATGGAGGCCACAAAGGAAACGACAGACCGGGATGGCGACAGACTGGGATGGCTGCGGAATCTGCGAGGCCGATGTCCCTGTCCCTGTCCCTGTGCAAACTGAAGACAACTGGTCAACCCCCCTCAGCCACCCAAGCGCCTATTTGAAAGCAGGACGCACTGCAGTGGACACAGCGGGAAGGCGCCAGCGACGCGCGAATCCCTTGAAGTCCCACGTGCTGCGCAGCTGGGCCCCGGAGAGGCTTCCTGGCCTACTGAGGAGAAGCAGCCCCAGAGACAGAGCAGGTGCTCGCTGCTTTTTCAGTCTGGATGGACTGTCCCTGGGGTGGGGACACATGGCACTTCCTGAAGAGCCGGGGACGAGCGGCTCAGAGCCAGCCTGAAGGACAGGCACTGGCGAGCCTCACCCTTACAGGCAGATACTTTACGTAGCTAGAGCAATAGACTTTATTTCATTAAAATAGATTTTAAAACAGAATGTGTAAAAGAATTAGGATTCTCAATAATTTACTATTATTTACATTAGCAAACGTCGGTCGTTAGTAGACACCGTGAGGGGGACGGGACCAGGGCTGGCTCTTGGCGCCGTGGCCGGCCCGTCCTGGGGGCTGGGGGCACAGGGCCCGGGCTCTGCCGTCCACACCGCAGGGCCGAGGAGAGGCACAGGCTCCTCTCCCGAAGAGCGTCATCAGCCGCCTGTCCCGGCTCCCAGCGGCGAATTCTCCTTCACAACCGTCAATCCCCCTTGGGCTGACACAGAGCCCTGAATTTCCGGAGGGAAGATGAAAAACAGAAGTGAAAGCCACACACCCCGGTTCCCAGGGACAGCCTGGGTGACTCAGTACCCCCGGCACTTGGTGACTCAGCCAAATCTCACGTGGAATGTTCTGTGTGCTTGTTGTGTGAGGGAATGGGGGGGCGAGGGGAGCCCCTGGGCCACTGTGCCGGGGGAAGGCACCTCCCCGGGAAGCGGCAACAGCATAGAAGGCCAGGAAGGTCTCAGCAGCAGGAAGGTCCCGCAGGCACTTGGTTTGGGGGGGCCAGTCCCGGGGATGAAGGGACAGGCCAGGCTGGTGATGTGCAAAGGAGAGGAACCCCGCAGTCGCCTCCTTGACTCAGCTCCTGCTTGTCGGAGACTGGGGGGGCGGGCAGGCCTGACCACGGCCGCCCCCGCTGCCCCCTGGCAGCACCCCCAGGCTCCTCGTGGTGCAGGCGGCTGGCTGGGGGATCGGGGTGACCACGCCGGTCACTGCCGCCCACGCAGTCCAGGCCTGGGCTTGGTCCTCGGGGCCGGTCCGGCGGACAGCAGCAGAGAGGGCAGCCACGGGCTGGGGAGGGCCCGGCGGAGTCTCAGTCCAGAATGTCAGTCTCGAAGGGAACCAGGTGGTAGTAGGACAGGTTAGTGACATAGGCCGCGGGGTCGTCCCCATCCTCCAGCTCTGAGGAGAACTCGCCGCCGTTCTCAAACCTGCAGGGAGAGGACGGAGTGAGGGCCGCTCGCCAGGCTGGAGTGGGAGGAAAGGGCAGCGGGTACCTGAGGCCGAGCTCAGGGGTCAGCACCGGAGGCCAGGAGAGCCCAGCCCCCTCGCCAGCCTGTCCAGGAAGCTGCGGGTGGGGGCCTGACCGCGATGAATGAAGTCCCCGCTCTCTGCTGGTCACCAGGGGGCGGACAGGGCTCAGCTGTTTTGTCACTGCCCCCAGCAACGGGGCTGGGGCGGCCTCGGGGCAGGGGCACCCCCATGCTGGGGCCCTCAGACCAGCCCAGGCTCAGGGCCCTCCTGGTCCACCCCACAGTGGCCCTGCCTGACACAGGACACAGATCCAGGTCCGACTGGCTGTCCGGGCTGGGAGCCGCCCGGACTCTGCCCGGACACGGCTCCTCCCCTCTCCCTCTCCCTCGCTCTGATGAAGGGACCCCATAGTGCGCCCGAAAAGCCCGAGCCCTGGGCACCAGGGCGTGCAGCAGTTCTACTCTTGGCGCACTTCCAGGGCAGCTCCCTGGGAATTTTGGGGGGCAGCTTGAAGCCACCACCCTTGGCTTCTGTGGACGGCCAAGGCCAAGCCTGCTCTGGCTGGGCGTGAGGGTCAGTGAACCCCTTCACCCGTCCCGGCTCCCTGTCTCTGGAGGGGTCCCTGACCCACGGCCAGGTGGCTGTGAAATGCTGGGCTCAAGGTGTCCCCCACGGCTTGCCCCTGGCCTCTAGCTCTCGATGCCCTGCAGGCTTATGAAGAGCAGAGATTGCGGGGTCCCTGGAGGGGCCCCAGGTCCAGCCCTACCAACTCAGCTGCAAACAAAAATGGACCCAGGTGTCCAGACATCCCTGGATGTCTGCAGGAGAGAGCGTGCTCCGGGTGGCCCCAGGCTCCTGCGGGTAGCTGGAGGCACCTCTGTGGGGTCCCTGAACCCTCATGGAGTGGGGGAGCCTCGTCAGGCCTGTGCAACTGGCTGCCCTCACTTCCTCAGGGCTCAGGGCATCTCTGGGGTAGGAGCTGTGGGGAGGAGCCGGGTCAGAGCACAGACGCCAGGGCCTGCCCACACTCACCCTCCCTGCGGCCTCGTCTGCCCCCCTTCCTTGGCTGTTCCACGCAACTGCACCCCAAGGGGAGCGTCTGGACTCCTGAGCTGACTGTTACAAGGCAGCGAGATTCTGGGCTGTTGATACTGGGGCATCAGTATCCTGAGCTGACTGTCACAAGTCATGAGATTCTGGGGTTCCAACACATGTCCACACCCCCACACACACTGGACCCAGCATGGACAGGACCCCGCGGCCTGCAAGCCTTTCCTCCGTGCCCCTCGGTCAGGCCCTCCGGGGTCAACGGAATGCGGCTCCCGCCAGCTTTCTGGATCAGGAGCTCAGTGACCTCTCGAAAGGTGACCACAGTCAACAAGCCCCACGTGAGGCCGAGGCAGCTCGGCCCTTCCCGTGGCGGCCGGTGGGTGGACAGGCCCAGCCCCGAGCCCTTCCAGCAAAAGCTGTTCAAATCCGGGGACTTACAGGTGTTCCACGGGATCCACATCCGGGTGCTGGTCTTTGCCGTTTGGTAAACTGTGATCGATGACGATGGTTTCTGTGTTTGCTAAACAAAACCCGTTGGACCTCATGATTTCTGAAAATGAAAGCAGAAAGGTAAATCTCGGGGGGGTCAGGTTATGCCAACTGCCTGCATTCACTGCCTGTCCCCGCTTCAGTGACCTCTGCCCCTAGGGTGCCGCCATGCAGATACGGGGCCCAGGCAACCTGCAGATCCCCTTCCCGGCTCTGTCCCAGAGGACCCCCCCCGGGCGAGGTCCCGCGCCTCGGCTTCCCCTGTGCTCACAGGTGAGGTGCGCAGGGCCGCTGAGGTTGCCCAGGCTCGCACTCAGCCCCGGGACTCCTAGGTCATCTTAAGCCCTCTCCCGAGTCTCCTGGGGTCATACCATCTAGCACCCTCGGGTGATGGGGGACCAAATGAGGTCAGCGTGCCTTTCAAGCCCCTTGGGGGACTTCACTTTTGTATTTTCCATAACTGTACATACACTGATGTTTTCCCAACAAGCACAAACGTTGACGATTTAGAAAAACCAAGCAAGATGACGACGATGTGGACCTGGGTTGGACAGTGTCACTGCGGAGGGTGGTGGCCCAGGGCTGCCCAGCGAGGGGTCAGGGGTGATCTTGGGACTCAGCCTCCCCGGATGGAGAATGTCCAGGGTGTCTTGGGTGACCTCGAGGGTCCTACGAACTGCCCGATTCCATCATGTCACCAGCTCCAGCGGGGTCTGGTTTGCTTCTAGTGTCTGGTGTAGATGTCACTTCTGCTTCCGAGGGCCCGTCTCAGTCACGTCCCTCCAGGAGATGACCACGGGGCCGCTGCCAGCCCCAGAGTGCCCACCCAGAGTGGCTGGGCTCTGTATTAAGGCCCTGGGGTGTCCTCTCCAATCAGACCCTTTAGTAACCTCACCTTAAAACCACGCTTAACTGGCCCTCCCTGGTGGCACAGCGGGTTAAAGTGCAGCACTGAGAAGCTAAAGCCACTCAGCATGAGTTTGATCCCCGCCTGCCCCGGAGGTGACCACATGGTGTGGCAGACCTCTCCTGACCCGCCCGCTGCTCCCCTCAGCAGTGTACTTCGTCGATCTGCCTGTTCTGTTCCCCACTCTGACTCTGGTGAAGCCTCTCACCGCCCCTGAGCCTCTGGCCTGTACCCCAGCTCTGTATGCACAAATAAATAAATCTTAAAAAAAAAAAAAACAAACACACTTTGCATCGATGGCAAATCCCTGGGGACACCCGCAATCAAAGGCTTCTCGCCTCGCAGACCTAACACCCTGACACACGGCTGGAAATAGCTTCCTCCCTCTCCACACTCACAGGCTCTGGGAGGGAGTCCTCTGGTTCTTGCATTTTATCACAATTTCGCTTATTTTATTCCCATGTGTGGATTTGCTTTTTTCATGTGAAGCCGGCCTTTCCCGTTTCATCTTCCTGGGCATTTGGTTCTCTGTGCATGGATCCCCGGCCCCCCTCCCCGGACCCTACCCCCCACCTAAAGAGAAATAGTGAAACTATGCAAACATGCAGAGAGCAAAGTTTCCTCCTCACTGCCACGGATTGAAACTACCGTTCCTCACTCAGTTTGCCAAGCCACGGCTACCGTTCCCACTTGACTCTGTCGAGAGCCCGTGTCTCGTCGGACTCTGGCAGCGTCGGCCATTACTCACAGGCCCCAGGGCCCCAGCAGCGGCCTCCATGCCCGTCAGCACCCCCGTACCCCTCACCCTACCACGTCCTCCCAGCCTCCCTGCGAGACCCTGCAAACCTCAAGAAGGAACGTCACCAGCCAACAGAAAGCTGCTGTTTGAACCTCCTGCGTCAACGATATTCCAGCTCCTGAGGGTCAGGAAGAGGTGAAGCACAGTCTGCGTGGGCAGACAGATGACCGACTCTTAACGAGGGAGCTGCGGGCCTCGCCCTCGACTTGCGACGCGTGGCCGCCGAGGAACAGGCTGGTCCTGGCTTTTGTCATCTCTGACTCACGCACACACGAAGCCTCAAAGCAGCTCCCGGGCAGCCTGCTGGCAGGCCCCCCTTCTGCTGGGGGACAGGGCTGGGGGTCTGCTGGCAATGTGAGGGGCACGGTTCTGGGAAATGGCATCTTGGCCAGCCCCCCGGGTAGACGATGGAGGAAGAACGAAAGGAGCCATCAGCAGACTGGCTGCACAGGGGTGGGTTAGCACGGCCGACCCAGCCATAGAGACCAAGAACCTTGGGCACCAGCGTCCAGACTACAAAGCCTGAGACCAGAGCAGGTCTCAGACTGCTCCAGGCGGTGTCCAGAGCACCCCCCAAAAGGCGAAGGTAAAGATAGGGCGATGAGCCCATGGTGGGGTCCCCTGTCCCTTTCAGAGTCTACACAGTTTATTCAAAATCAGCAACAAGCCTGGGCTCTCGAGGAGTGAGCCCCTCCCAGAGAGAAGTTTCTTTCTCTGCAGTCTCTGCCCTGCCCGGGCGGCAGTCTGCCCACCTGGGCCCACACAGGTGCCTCTTCCCACCTGCCCTCTCCCTCTGCAGGGCAGCAGCCTCCTGCCTGCCCAGGACCTGCCCCTGCCGGGGCTTCTCTGCCCTGACCTCCCTCAGCGGAGGCCGCTCTCCTCAGGCCGCCCCCTGCCACCATGCAGGCCTCTCTCTGCAAGCCTGTCCCTTCGGGGCAGCTCTGCCTGCCCGCCTGTGCCTATGCGAGTGTCCTTGACCCCTCTGTCCTTCGCCCTAATAAACCTGCTCTTTACTATAACCGAGTCTGTTTTGTGGAGAAACTCACCTGAGAACTCACTGCGTGCAGCTCAAAGGGGAGCTCTGGGGACACCTTTTCCAGAGTGACCCTGAGGACCCGCACTCCAAACACACTGACTCCAAAAATGACATCAATTCCCCAAGCGCCTGGCGAAGAGGCCGCGAAGCACAGACGTGTGACTTCACCCTGGCGAGGCCAGCGGGAAGGTGGCCGTTCCCTGCGCCAGGAGAGCAGGCCTCGTGGGGCTCGTCGGAAATGGAAATTGCAGTTTCCATGTGATCAGATGAGGTCTGGAGAGTCTGACCGATTCTGGGAGCTCAAGAGAGCCGTTTTCCTCTCCCTGGGGCTCAGGCTTTCCATGCAAATAAAGGGGCCGCACTGAGGCCCTGGAGCCCAGCTTCACGCTCGGGAAGCGCCTCCCCAGGCAGGTCAGTGCGTCCCACAGCCACTGGCCACTTCCGTGGCCCGGGTGCATGCACGCATGAGTGCTTGGGGGTCTGTGTGCTCCTGCTCTGCCGTTTATTGAACTTTCTTTTTCTAAGGATTAATTTATGGATGCATACGAGAACTAGGGTGCAGGCCAGAGGTGTGGGGGTGATTTGCCAGAGACAGCAAGGAACAGAACAGACTGATCTACTGAAACACACTGCTGAGGGAGCAGCAGGTGGGACAGGAGAGGTCTGCTGTGCCCTGTGGGTCAGCTCCCTGGCCGGGGATCGAACTCCTGCTGCAGTGGCTGCAACAGTTTCCTAATGCTGCATCTTAACTTACACTTGCTCCACCAGGGAGGCCCCTCAACTTTTATTTTTGAGCGAATTGTAAAATGGCAAGAGAGCTACCAAATCAGCACAGGGTGTCCAGCCTCGGCAGTGCCTCATTCCAGCTCATGGCACCCCAGGGTGCTAGCTGGCCAGACCCAGCCCCGGAGGCAGGCAGGAAGAGGCAGGAGGACCGGGCAGCCAGCCAGGCTCCTGGACCCCACCCCGAGCTGACAGCCTCGGGGCTCTGCCCACCCCACCCTCAGCCCATGGACGTGGACAGACGCCCACCCCCGAGCAGCGGCCTGGGCCACGCCGGGGCCGGGCTTTCTGCCAGTTTTCTGCAGTTACTATCTTCTCCTTGTAGCTGATGGACACAGTCTCAGAGAAGATGCGCTGACGCTGAAACGCTGCTTCCCCATAAAGGAGCGGGCGCCCGCTCATCTCAGTAGGGAGGGGTGGGCCCCCCTGCAAAGATTCCCAGCGGGGTGCTGTTTTGTCAGCTGTGCATGCCAGCTCAGGCCCTCATCCCTCC